CCGGTTCTAGTGAACTGGTAGTTAAATTGCTGGGTGGCGCCTCCCTTCCAGGCCCCTTCCAGGAGTCCTCACGTGCCCCATTTTGGCTCCTAGGTAAGTGCAGAAAGGCCTACTAAGCTCAAAAAGGGGCCGGGAGTGTGCGGTGCCCCCACACAGCCCGTTTTTGCTCCCAGGAGGCTGCAGGGAGGCCTACTAGGCCCAAAACGGGGCCTGGGGGGGCAGCATGTCCCTCCGTGGCCCGTTTTTGCTCCCAGGGGGTTGGAGGAGGCCAAGTGGTGCCTGTCCCACCCCCCGGCCACGCCCACCATGGCCATGCCCACCCAGCCGGTCATTAGGGCAGAGAAGTGTTTGAATCCCACCATTGAGCAATATTTGAATCCCACCATTGAGCGAACCTCACTCCTTACAAGCACACCTCACTCCTTACTAGCGCTGATGATGTTACTTAGATTGGTAAAGAAACGTCTGCAAATAAACCACCAAACTCAGAGAGCACCAAGGACCTCACGGTTTAAATATTCTCTACAAATATTCTCCTCTATCGACGTTTTTTTTCTATATATACATTTTTTCTAATAACCGTCACATTTGGAGAATATTATTACTAATACGCTGCAGCGCAAAACTGGCAGTTCGATTTCCACTAGCAGCAAAAATACAAGTAGTCCCTGACTTACAACAAACGGCTCACTTAGTGACCGTTCGAAGTTTCATTGGAACTAAAACAAGGTGACTTATGACCATTTTTCACACTTATCACCCCCCCCCATGCAGCATTATCGGGATCACGTGATCAAAATTCAGATGCTTGGCAACTGGTTCCGATTTATGACGGTCGCAGTGTCCCGGGGTCATGTGATCCCCCTTTTGCGACCTTCTGATGAGCAAAGTCAATGGAGAGGCCAGATTCACTTAAGAACCATGTTACTAACATAATAACTGCAACGATTCACTTAATGGCTGCAGAAAGAAAGGTCGCAAAAGGGGGAAAAACCCACTTGACAAATGTTTCACTTAATGACAGAAATTTTGGGGTCAACTACGATCGTAAGTCAAGGACTAGCTGAACGTAGACAGAGATTCAAGAGAGAGTAATGAAACACTTGAAAAAGCTGGGAAGGCAGATGTGGCTTCTGGAATTCTTCCTTACTCTATACCAGATGTGGCTGTAGATATTTTCTTCGGTGTAATAAAGTACTGTGTATTTCTACTTCTCCCTTGGGTTGCATTTATGTGTGTTTGTATACATGTGTGTGCAATGAGCCTCCAGGGCAGGCTGCAAACTCTGGATTGTATGAATAGAAATAACAGGAGCTTGGAATGGTGCAATCATCAGCTTTTTGATCCATTGCCCAACTGCCTCTCCTATAGAAATTACACAGACTTTTTAAAAATATTTTTCTCCACAGCCTCAAGCCAGATGAGGCCTGTTTTAAAACCCCCTAGCTTATTCCTCCAGAAACCATTTTGTCCCATTCTGTTTGGTTTTCAGAAAGTTATCCTGTTGAAGGACAGACGGACCAATCAGAAGTGGGCTTCACATACTGTAACAACCGGTTCGCCTAGTACCGGAAATGCAAGCGTGCGCCATCTGCGCATGTGGTATCACAAAATATGGCAATTTGCTAACGTGCACTGTCCAAGCATGTGTGCGATGTCAAAAATACAATGATATAGGATGAGATTGTGCCCAGGCGGGTGGGGGCGCCACCCTCAGGTCGCCACTACCGATTTGCCCGAACCTGTACGAACCGGCTGAAGCCCACCTCTGGGACCAACAGAGAAACAGAATGTCTTTCTGTAAAATCTTTCCAAAATTCCATTTTTGTTGGAAAGAATAAAAACGGGCATAGGGGAAATTTATCAGGAGGTACTTCAGATTAAATTGCAGATGGAAACTGCATGCGTTCACGTGTTTTCTCTTTAAAACCAATGCTGAGGAAAAGAAATGATGTTATTAAACAAGAGCTATGTGGAACTCTTTCAAATTCCATTACCGTTAAAGCTTATCTTCTGATCCTTTCCAACTTTGTAATAAAATACAACGGCTGCTGTACCACAAAGTATTTTGTTCCGATTTAAAACAAGGAATAACTGAATCTGTGAAAAGCTGCTATGATGGTCCTTGACTAACAAGGGATTGTTTTGTGACTGAGCTGAAAAAAGCGAGTTATGAATGTTTTTCACACTTATGACCGTTGCAGCATCCCCAAGGTCACGTGATCGAAATTCGGACGCTTGGCAACCGACTCGTACTTACGACTGTCGCAGTGTCCAAAGGTTATGTGATCCCCAGTTGCGATCTTCTGACAAGTGAAGTCAATGAGGAAGCCAGATTCACTTAACAACCGTGCTACTAATTTAACAAGGGCAGTGATTCACTGAACGTCTGTGGCCAAAAAGTTCGTAAAATGGAGCAAAACCCGCTTAACAACTGTCTCGCTTAGCAACAGAAATTTTGGGCACAATTCCTTTCCTTTTTTTTTTTTTTTTGAATCCTTCATAAATATATCGTAATAAATATGTATTACTATTAGAATTACATAGGTTGGCTAATTATTTTACAAGTAGTGTAATGGACACTAGAATAACATTTCAATACAAATAGATATGAAGAATGGAATAAGGGAAATAAGAGAAGTATGAATAAGAACGAAACAATAAGTGAAACTAGAATTTGAGATATTAAAAATGCATAAAAACATGATTAGCAGTGAAATATTAGAACTAAAAAATGGGTGATTAGATAATGAAAGAATATATTTCAATATACATATGTGTATTAATACAATAGATTGTGATTGGTACTAGGAGTGTATACTGAGGCAATGAATAATGAAAGATTGAAGGATGAATTTTTGATATAAATTGATGTGACGAGTTAACTAAAGGAAGTGGGGGAAAAACAAGTCTTTGAATATTATAGCGATATTGGAAGGGAAAATAAAATAAAATAAAATTGAGATAGAAACAAGAGGGGCATAATAATAAATATACTGCTCAAAAAATAAAGGGAACACAAGCAGAAGACATCCGAGATCTGAATGAATGAAATAGCCTTATTAAATACTTTGTTCATTACATACAGTAGTTTTGTGTTCCCTTTAGTTCTTTGAGCAGTGTATAAACTACTATATGTAACGAACAAAGTATTTAATAAGGTTATTTCATTCATTCAGATCTCGGATGTCTTCTGCTTGTGTTCCCTTTATTTTTTTGAGCACTGTATATAGATATAGATATATTGACATGAAGGTATATGAAAGAACAAAAGGAAGGTTTAGAATTAAAGGGTGATACTAAAAGATGTGTATACGAAACTATAAAAATGAAATGTAATAACTAGGAGTAATAACATTATGTTTATTGTACTGAAATGTATGATACCCAGATAGCACACTATTCACACATTGATATGTATAAACAATATAAAATTTAAAAAACTTGGGGGAAAAAAAGAAATTTTGGGCACAATTGTGATTCTAAGTCAAGGACTGTCTTCGTTTATATGGCAATAAAATACTTGGGATCTGCTAGAAAGGTGGTCTTGATTTGAACATAAAAACACATACTTCTCTTTCCTTAGGAAGAGAATTAATATTTAATTCAAATATTTCAAATATTTAAGCAAAACCTTACCTCAGTGAAGTGGACCTTTAAAGAGTGCACGGATCTTGCCTTGAATAAGTCAAATTCTTTTAAGGAGAGTCAGCCTATATTAGCATTAGGAATCTAAATGCACTCAGATTTCAACTTAGATTATGCTCAAAGTGTCCGTGGAAATACTCAATCATCCAGGGTTGTCCCAAAGGTGCTTTTTCCAAAAAGCAACTGAATTTTCTTGGGTTTTTTTAGTTTGAAAATGTTTCCCTTCTGACCCAAGAGAGAAAACAACCACTTTCCTGCTTGCTGTTCAGGTAGTCCTTGATTTATGGCAGAGGTGGTATTCAGATGGTTCAGACCGGTTCGCGTGAACCGGTAGTGGAAATTTTAACTGGTTCGCCGAACCGGCAAATACCACCTCTGGCTGTTTGCTCTGTGTGTATGAGGCTGAGAAGGAGGAGAGAAGCAGCCAGGTTGAACGCTGGAAGACTGGGCCAAACTTTTCTGCCAGGCCTGTGGGTGTGGCTTGGTGGGGATCATGTGACTGAGTGGGTGTGGCCAACTCAATGTCACTCACAGCGAGGTGCCGCCCCACCAAGCCACACCCACCAAGCCACACCCACAGAACTGGTATAAAACAATTTGAATTCAACCACTGACTGACAGCCACAATTGAGCCCAAAGGTTTCGTTGCTAAGTGAGATGTTTGTTAAGTGAACTTTGCTCCATTTTACGACCTTTCTTGCCATGGTTGCTAAACGAACCACTGCAGTTGTTCAATTAGAAACACACAGTTGTTAAGTGAATCTGGTTTTCCCGTTGACTTGTCCAAAAGTCGCAAAAGATGATCATATGATTCCCCGGGACGCTGCAACCGTCATAAATGTGAGTCAGTTCCCAAGTGTCTCAGTTTTGATCATGTGACCATGGGGAATGCTGCAATGGTTGTAAGTATAAAAAATGGTCCTAAATCACTTTTTCTTTTTCTTTTTTTAATTTTACTTTAAAAGTAAAACAATGGACATTGTTCAACGTCTCTGGTTTCTAACATTTATGTCAAAATCAACTTAATAAGTAATCTATTCCTTGCTCTATATACAAATTTAGATATCTCCTATTTCATTATATATCAAGTACACAGTATTTTACTTCCTAACCAACTATGCATGTATTTAATAAACCAATATTTCATTCACAAGTTCAATATACATTGATATATTAATATACATTGATATGTCTGTTGTAAAACTTCGAACGATCACTAAGTGAGCTGTTTGTAAGTCAAGGACTATCTGTATTATTCAGGTCAAAATAGGTGCAACAGGAGATGATGGTGGGAAGATTTACAAAGCTGTAGAAAAATGTGATTATCATACATATCGAGTTCAAGTACTTACTCTCAGATGCTTTCTGAAATTCTGAAGCCAGAGTTCGAGTCACTGCTGTCCAGAAGGTGTACAAAATGTCAGACTGGCCATCCTAAAATGAAAGAAGACAAGATTTGTCACAATCAAGATGTGCTCCAAATTTAGAAACATAAAAAAAAACCCCGATGGCCAAAAAAACAAAAAAGAACCCCAGTGGTCCATCAAGCCTTCCCTTTCAACTCATTTGTTTTTTTAATTAATTAATTAATTATTATTTTATATTGTATTTATGTTTATTTTTAATTTACAACTTGGAAAGTTCTCTTCTCTCTTTATATGCACTTCTTAATGTAAAGTAAAATTAAATTGAAAAAAATTGGGGGGAAAAAAAGACATACATTGAATTTGGCAGCTACTAAGATTGTCAGATGAGCAGGCACAAAAACAGCCAGGGAAGTACCGTATTTTTCAGAGTATAAGACGCACTTTCCCCCCCCAAAAAGAGGGTGAAAAGCCTTTTTTTCTGAAGCTCTGTTTTAAAGGCTTTCAGAGGCAGAAAAGAAACAGTTTTTTCTGAAACAGAGTTTCACAAGTTTCAGAGGCAGAAAAAATAAGCAAGGCACAGAGCTCACAACCAACGAATCTGTTGCTAAAATTCACCTCTGGAAACAGCTGATTGGGGATATTCCGGGAGGCTGATCCACTCACCAATCAGCTTTTTTCTTATTTTCCTCCCCAAAAACTAAGGTGTGTCTTATGCTCCAAAAAATACGGTAATTGAAGCCTGGGAAACGGGCCTCTCCTCACTCAACAGGAGTGCCGATTTACCCCCAGCTTATCAAGAAGAGGCGAGGGCTTGGTAGCACAAGGAAACAACAGCCAACCACTTAATAGCTGTTCTGACCTAGGCTTCACAAAAGCATGAAGCAGACTCCTTGTCCCGACAAAATCCCTTTTTATTAAGATAATGTGAATTCCTCTCATTCACATCCAGCAAAGTCCCAGCAAACAGTCTTTCCAGGGTGAATTTACAACCACAGACCTTATCAGGCTTGGAGACCTGCCAGGCCGATATCTTCCAAACACAATGCTGTACAAGGAAAGACTTGGCAAGGAGTCTCTGAGAGTCACAAACAGATCTTCACACTAATGAAGTGAACTAATTGTCTCCTGCAAACTCCACTCCCCTTTCGCTCCTCTTTATTCCCTACGGGAGGGGCCATTCACCGTCCACCTGGGCCTTTACTCCTGAGTTGGCCCTTGTTCCTTAACTGTTCCCTTCTCCTGGCAGCTCTGCGCATGTGCACATCGGGAACAGGCTCCAGCTGTTCTTCAGCCCCACTTATCTCCGACTCCGAAGGTAGCTGACAACTGTCAGACGGCCCTGGCCCCATCTCTGCCTCCGACGCAGAGCACTCATCAGAGCCTTCCCCAGACTCCAGGACTGGCCCATGTTCCTCCCCAACCTCCTCACTGTCTGAATCTGCCGCCAGCTCCACTGGCCACTGACGGACCACAACAATAGCTGGCCATCAACACCCCAATCAACACCTAAAAAGCCACACACAACCAGGCACGATAAAACTATCACAAACCGAATAGCCCAAAGTACACTTTCTGCTAGAGAGAAGTTCCCTGAAGATGGGCTCCAGGACGAGTCCGAAAGCTCGGAAGACAAACTTTTTGGTCTTGATGACCGACCCAAATTGAATTTTACAGAATTTTAGAGGGTTTTAGGATTGCAATGCCAAGGGTGAGTTCATCACTGCTTATTTTGACCTTTCCGTCCTACGTTGATTTTACTTTCACGACATTATATTTGAGAGGGAGAAAAAAAATGTTGCTCCCGCAGGGAATTTAAAAAGTTCACCCAATTCTGTCACTAAACAAAACCTGCCCTCCCTAAACCTGAATGGATGGATGATACAGAAAGAGATTTTTGGAAGGAAGCATGACCTATTTAAAACATTGCGGCCAACATACTTTTTTTCCTCCCGAAAGTTTTATATTTTCCCTTCTCTAAGCGTCACGGCAAATCTATCCCGCTTTCATTCGGCAAGCACTAAAAGCAGATTTCTCCTGGCTTCGAAGAACAAAAGATATCAGGAGATGGAAAGCTGAAAGTCAAAAGGATATTGTTCTGAAAACCAGAGTTTGTGTGTCTGTCTGTGTGTGTATATATCTCTGCTGCACAACTTCTTCCTATGGCTCTTTTTTAAGTGTACATCCTAAAACCAAGTCAAACTTAGATGCAAGATATTGAAAGGTTGTTACAGGTGATCCTCGACTTACAACAGTTCATTTAGCGACCGTTTGAAGCAGTGGTGAAATCTAAATTGGTTTACTACCGGTTCGCTGGCTGCGCATGTGCAGTGCGCACCATGCACCAAATGCGAGGTGCGCATGCGCAGTGCACACCAAAAGGAGGCATGCGGTAAGTAGAACAGCGCGCAAGGGGGGGTGATCAGTTGTGGCGTGCAACCGGGAACATTTCATCCCTGGTTTGAAATCACAATGGCACTGACAATTGATCATTTTTCACACTCACGAACAGAGGTGGTATTCAGCCGGTTCGCACCGGTTCAAGTGAACTGTTTGCGGTGATCATCGTTGGGCCCGCCCACCCACTTCGGCTCCAAATTGTGCTATTTAGGCACGTTTTTGAAGCCAGCTGCACACGCAGAAGGCGTGCGTGCGTGGTGAACCGGTGGTAAAGTGAAACCCACCCCTGCTTACAACTGTTGCGTCATCCCATCGTCACGTGATCAAAATTCAGCTGCTCGACAACTGCCGTATATTCATGACAGTTGTGGCGTCTCGGGTCATGCGATCACCTTTTGCGCGATCAAAATTCAGTCGCTTGGCAACAGACTCGTATTTATGACGGTTGCAGTGGCCCGGAGTCACATGATCCCCCTTTTGTGACCTCCTGATGAACAAAGTCACTTACTTACCGTGTTACTAACTTTACAACTGAAGTGATTCACTTAACAAATGTGGCAAGAAAAATCATAAATCATCATCATCATCTTTTAATGACCCCGTAATCCCTTGCAGGGCGGAGTCTGGACAACTGAAGGGAGCTGAGTGTTTACAGGCCGGATGCCCTTCCTGTTGCCAACGCGGAGTTTTGTTCAGCAGATATATTCTCATTGTGCCCAGAGAGAGAAATATCTGCCTCTACCCAAGATCGAACTCACAGCCTCCTGACTGTGAGGTGAGAGCTCCACCTCTAGGCCACTGCACCACTCAAGAATGAGCATAAAATGGGGCAGAATTCAGTGGTGAAATTCAATTTTTTTTTTACTACCGGTTCTGTAGGTGTGGCTTGGTGGGCGTGGCATGGCTTGGTGGGCATGGCTTGGTGGGCATGGCAGTGGAAGGATACTGCAAAATCTCCATTCCCTCCCCACTCCAAGTGAAGGATACTGCAAAATCTCCATTCCCACCCCACTCCTGGGGGAAGGATACTGCAAAATCTCCATTCCCACCCCACTCCTGGGGGAAGGATACTGCAAAATCTCCATTCCCACCCCACTCCAGGGGAAGGATATTGCAAAATCCCCATTCCTTCCCCATTCCTGGGGGAAGGATATTGCAAAATCCCCATTCCCTCCCCACTCCTGGGGGAAGGATATTACAAAATCTCCATTCCCACCTCACTCCAAGGGAAGGATATTGCAAAATCTCCATTCCCTCCCCATTCCTGGGGGAAGGATACTGCAAAATCTCCATTCCCACCTCACTCCAGGGAAAGAATATTGCAAAATCTCCAATCCCTCCCCACTCCTGGGAATAGGATACTGCAAAATCTCCAATCCCTCCCCACTCCTGGGAATAGGATACTGCAAAATCTCCATTCCCACCCCACTCCAGGGGAAGGATACTGCAAAATCCCCATTCCCTCCCCACTCCTGGGGGGAAGGATATCGCAAAATCTCCATTCCCACTCCACTCTAGGGCCAGCCAGAGGTGGTATTTGCCAGTTCTCTGAACTACTCAAAATTTCCGCTACTGGTTCTACGAACTGCTCAAAAATTCCACTGGATTGGATCAGAACCTGCTGGATTTCACCCCGGCAGAATTCATTTAACAACTGTCTTGCTTAGCAACGGGAACTTTGGGCTCAATTGTGGTCCTACGTCAAGGACTACCTACCTGTATTTCATAAAACCAGGAGAACAATGGACCCAAACGAAGATACCAACTTTAATGGAGAAGAAGAGAAGAAAAAAATCCTAAAACTGTATAGTAAGGCTTTCTCCGAAATCTAGCAACACTCAAATTGTATTTATAAGATGATAAGCTTATGTGGTAGAAGTTGCTGACAGGATGAATCATAGACTTCATCTGATTATCTTCCTAGCTCAATGACAATAATTTCAATCATTTTTCTATTCTTAAAAAGCAGGGTAGTAAAACAAAACCGTTTGCTCAGGTGTAGTAGACCCAATGAATCATCGCCCTAACAGAATTTTATTTTGATAGCTTTTAGAGAGACATACGTGTGTATCGCATATGTATCACATATGATATGTATCAGTGGTGGGTTCTCCCGGTTCAGATCGGTTCTATAGAACCGGCAGTAAAACTGGAGGGAGGCTCCACCCACCGACCCCGAGGTCATCAGAACGCTTCTGCACATGTGTAAAAGAGCACGCATGTGTGCGAGCAAAACGATCATGCGTGCGCGGCCCCGTTGCAAACCGGTAGTAAAGGTGAGTAGAACCCACCCCTGGTGGGAATGGAGATTTTAGAATATCCTTCCCCTGCCACGCCCACCTAGTCACGCCCACCAAGCCATGCCACGCCCACCAAGCCACACCCACAGAACCGGTAGTAAAAAAAATTGAAACCCACCACTGATATGTATATGTAACACAACATTGTAACTTGCACACGGCCTACAGAGAGTGTAGGACAATAACTTTCCAGTGAATAGTTAGCACAACATGAAGGAATTAGTTGTCTGGAAAGCAATTGCTCTCAGATCCACAGAAGGCTGGGTATGTCCAGCTCTTAATTTAATTTATCTGAGGTATTTGGCTGGATCAGTTAATTCAACTTTGGCCTTTAATGATCTTCCTATCCCATCTTACCTCATTTCACCTA